GCAGCACTTAATTTACTGCAGGACATTTTAAAATCTTTAGCCTGCATTATGTTGAGTCGCTGACAAACGCCTGGTTGTCTCTCATTGACTGCTGACTGAGTGCTATTACAAGCTTGCAGATAGGCCCCACTGTAATATGGCCTTCAGGTTTATCCTGAGATGGTGGAAGTGTATTAATTTAGTCGGCGGGCTGCGAGAGCATGCAGGGGTAGATCTCTCAACCCCCCTCGGGATTGGAGCTGTCTGCCACAGACCCCAAGCATATTTCGCCATCAATGTGTCAGGGGGAAAGCTATTAAAACCGCTTTACTTTTCCTAAGTATCATGAGAATAAGCACAAGATTTAGTGAAATCCCCTCCGGAGTCTGGAAAATCTGGGGGATTTTCCCCCTGAAATGTTCCCTAATGTACTCTTTGGAAGTGTCAGAAACTCTTGTTGGATTTAAAACATCCCCCCCCCCCCCCCCCCCCCCCCAAGATACCCAGAAGTCTTGCATTGTTGGGAATTTCTGTGTATTTACTGTACGAGTAGCTGAAATGACACAATTTAAAGTGAAGGTAATGCTGAACTCTCTTTACACTCAGCTAGTGCTAAATGTCCCCTGCATACATGGTCACAATATAGGTTTGGGATTTCAAATAAAATAAAATTTTAATTGTCACATGCTTCGTAAACAACAGGTGTAGACTAACAGTGAAATGCTTACTTACAGGCCCTTCCAAACAATGCAGAGAAAGAAAATAGAGAAATAGTAGAAAAAAAAGTAAAACATAGAAAAATTATAACACAAGGAATATTAATTTGTGATGTGGAAGTATTCAAAAGGAAGTATTCAGTAACTTTAAAAAACAAATAACTTGTGCTTAAATCGCATACCTCAAGCAGAACTCTCCCAAAGTCCATGTCATTAAGGTCTACATACATTTCTACTAACATAACCAAATGTGATGTATGCTTTGGTTAGATTAACTACAGTAATGTATTTTATAAGGTTATTCAATTAATTGAAAATATTGTGTAGGTTGGCATTGGGTCCCACATCAGGAGGGCACTGAGTTTTTCACAACCACATGACCAGACCTGGAAAACCTCTGTGTGGTCAGGAAAAACTATGGCCTCCCTATCTTCAGGTACTTTCTTCCTGTTCCCAAGGTTGTATCGGTCTCTTAGGTATAGCTCTTTTGTGTTTGCGTGTCAATAATAAATGTTCTGCCTGCGCTCTCCCCTGCCTGACCCTGTCTAATCCAGCACTACAGACTTGAGATAAAGAGAGAAGGATGCCTGCTGCAGACACCAGAAAAATGGCAACTCTAAAATGCAGGGGATAGAGACAGACACTGAACAATGGGATTGAGTCAGACAGGAATGGCTACATGGCGTCCATCGTTTCATACCGTGCAGGTTTCTTAAAGCCTCGGCTCATAGCTCCAGCGCTGTTAGGGTATGTAACCAGATTCCATACGTGTGTCATGAAAGGAGATCCACATGTGTCACAGGAGCTGAACGAGAAAGTAGCAATGAGAAGTAAATGTCTGCACGCTGATTCCAGTGCAGCTCAGGTACACCTACCTTAAACTCCTTAACATTCGTCAATGTGCTTGACACATACAACCCTTCTGAAAGGCCAAGAGAGACCGTTCCGTACAGTGTGGCAAAGATATACAAGTCGGTTGAGAGTTTCTAATGTCAACAGAATATAGCTGCAGGTATTCAACACAAAATTAGCAGGGTTTATTTACCTTTTGAACTCTGTGGAGTTACCCATTTTCTGCCTTTTATCAAACAGAAAGTTAGTGCCCTGAGGTACAACGTTCCCTCCTTCATTCTCCTCTTTCATTTAGCTTCTTCCCCCAGGTCTTCTGTACCGTCAATCTCTCTCTCCAGCGTGACTTCTTCTTAATCCACCTGAGTGCATGGAGGACAGTTTTGACATACGAAGAAAAAGATAGACTCCAGAGGACCAGTATCTTCAGAGCTTGGAGGATAACCGGATTATGTCGGCCATTTTATGCTGCTGGCAGTTTTTCTTATTACCCAGGGTTTTGTCGAACTTTAGAGAGGAAACGCCGTCCTCACAGAACATAGTCACACCCAACACTGATTTACACAAACAGACTGTACAGAAAACTACATATAACATTGCCATCATGTAGTTAAACTTCTCAGAGCTTTCCTCATACAGAGGAAATATTTCGAGGGGACAGCATTATTGGAAAGAGTGACAGGAGTGTTGTCATTATCTACACACTCTCACCAGGGAAATACCTGAATTTGTGTTTACACACTTTGCTATTTTAATCTATTAGCTGATTCCTTCAAACTGGCGTCAAACTAGGGCAAACAAACAGGATGTTTACCCTGTACTGTAGAAGCAATCAGCCTCGCTGCATGGTCAACACCTCCTGTGTCTGAAGCTCTGAACTAAACCTCTCACAGCAGATAGAGAACATGGCTGTGGGGTTACTGTGGATCCACTGACCCCTGCTGCCAGGAAGTTTATCCACACAGCCCTCGGGGAGGCCCATTTTGGACCCCAATGGTGGTTTAACATCTTTATAATCTCTGCCTCTGTATCGACGTGCACCGTTGGATTCCCTTCTGTCCATTTGTCTGCCTTTGAAGTGGCATAGGCCTGCAGTGCTACTGATGTACAGAGTTGAGGTAATCCTGTTTACCTCTGGCAGCACCTATTCACTAAGTCAAATTCCGGGTAGGCTATGTGTAAATGTACTTGGCGAATAAAGTGATTCTGATTCTGATTAGTTGGCGCTGGGTTGAAATAAAGAAGGCCTCCACTCTGGTCATCTGTGTTTATACCCGTCACTCCCAACTCTAATCCACTGGTACCAAGTCTATCAACTCTGATCCACTGGTACCAAGTCAATCAACACTGATCCACCGGTACCAAGTCTATCAACTCTGATCCACTGGTACCAAGTCTATCAACTCTGATCCACTGGTACCAAGTCTATCAACTCTGATCCACTGGTACCAAGTCTATCAACTCTGATCCACTGGTACCAAGTCTATCAACTCTGATCCACTGGTACCAAGTCTATCAACTCTGATCCACTGGTACCAAGTCTATCAACTCTGATCCACTGGTACCAAGTCTATCAACTCTGATCCACCGGTACCAAGTCTATCAGTGTAATAAAACACATCATCTGCATGTCATGGTGATAATCTGTTTGGTTCAAGCCCCTTCGCAGATTTCAGGGCTTCCACTTCTTTTGAGGCATCCCCAAAGAGGGGTGCATTTCCCTTATCCCCTCCAAAAAAAGGTGTCCCACATGGGACAAGATTTTCAGAACGTTTAATCCTAATCAAAATGATAATGTGTTATGTAGAAATCTGCTGCCCCCTTCAGATGAGGACCACCCTGCTTCTAGAGGAAACTTCAAGACAAAACTATATGATCTCATGACACTTTTTAGTAAAAATATTGGTTTTTGTTTCTTTAAAGATTGAATGAGGAACACAACCTAAAGAGGGAACAAATTTATGAAAACACTTTTTACAGTTCGTTGTCATGTAAGTATTCTGGCAAGGACATTCTGGTTTTTGGCCCTGTCTTATCAATGTCATTTCAATATCAAGGAAAATAGCTTAAATATATATTTGATCAGATAAGGTATAGTAATTACCAGCACCTCACAATCAATGGAATCATCCAGGACTATTGAATTATTTCTGTGATTATTATTGATTACACTGGGGTGGGAAAGGTGGCTGGGTCAGGTGAGACACACTTACGCATATTAAGTCATTGAGGGTGCAGTTGAGCATTTCTATGAACCTGTCAACTTTTAAGGGCAGTTTGAGAACTGTGGAAAGTGTGGGTTTAAGTAATGATTAGGTTTGGTAGGCTACCTGAAAAGACTTGGCATGGCCTATCAGTCACCTAAGGGCGGCAAGTGTCCTAGCAGTTAAGAGTGTTGGGCCAGTAACCGAAAGGTCACTGGTTCGAATACCCGAGCTGACAAGGTGAAAAATCTGTCGCTGTGCCCTTGAGCAAGGCACTTAACCCTAATTTGCTCCAGGGGTACCGTACTACTATGGATGACCCTGTAAAACAACACATTTCACTGCATCTATCTGGTGTGTGTGACAATAAAATATATATTTTTGACAATACATCTTTTATTTATTAAATGTTTTACTAATGTGGCCCTACTGTTATTTTTTTTATATATATAAACAAGGTTACACTTCCTTTAGCAATGTTTCCTGTTTCTTTCAGAGTGAAATGTCTCTGTTTGAGTGTAGAAATCCATGGTAATTACTACACATTTTAGTTGGAGATGTCATAACACCTCTGGCTTCTAGTTGACATTTCAGGACCATGGACAAGTAGGCAATACTAGTCCACTCCAGATTAATCTCGGTTACCCAGAAGTAAAATGGCCACGAGAGATTAACTCCAGATAAGTGTCCAAATTCGGAATACATTCTCTGCAGGTGGTGAAAAACGAACGCCCCCTAATACTGTACACAAATGTGGGAGGGCAAAGGGGAGTCAAAATAGACTGCTTTCCTTCCCCAAAATTGCTGGTTTAGGAAAGGGATTACATTGCTTTCTACCCTCCGATTGGCTTGCCTGAGTGTGACAGTTCTATGATGTTGTCAGGTTGCGCGCAGACCTGCACAGCTCTAACCATACCTTTGAACTTGGCTACGTTTGGCTCCCATTCACGCGCCTCTTCACATTCTTGAGTTTGCACTGCAGGCAGCTTTCTTTTCTTGAGAAACACACAAGTGATTCAACTCGCATTGGAGCACCAGTTGCCACCGGGTTTGGTCGTGTTTTTTTAACAGAGGCATTTGAATTAACTTTTATCTTTAAACTCTGTTAATTAGCCTACCCAATTTGGATAGGCTACGTTTTCTCTCCTGTGCCACATCTCTACCAACACACTAAAGGAGTATGAGCAGTTGGTTAGCTGAATAACAACAACATATCTAAATCTATAGATCTTTATAACTTTGGTTGATGTTGATGCGCATTTCACCGTGTGCTCTTGAGATGGCAAAACCTTTGGATCACATAAAGAGGCCCATGAACGCTTTCATGGTGTGGTCTCGCGGTCAGAGACGAAAGATGTCACTGGAGAATCCCAAAATGCACAACTCTGAAATCAGCAAAAGACTTGGCGCGGAGTGGAAGTTGCTTTCCGAATCAGAGAAGCGACCATACATTGATGAAGCCAAGAGATTGCGTGCGCAACACATGAAAGATCACCCCAACTACAAGTACAGACCCCGGCGCAAACCCAAGAGCTTGCTAAAGAAGGACCGTTTCCTTTTCCCCTTTCCCTTCCTCGGGGACGCAGAACATTTGAAAGGATTTTCCACCGAGTCCATTTTGGCTTCCGCTGAGAAAGCTAGGGCCCTTTTGCCGCCGACGTCGTCACCATACTCGCTCCTTGACCCTGGTCAATTCAGCACCGGCGCTGTCCAGAGGATCTCTGAAATTCCCCACGCGCTGGCTGCCAACGGCTTGTCCTATGCGCCCTCTTTGGGATACCAGACTGGCGCGTTTGGAAGTTTGGGATGCCCCAGCCAGCACACTCACACTCACCCGTCCCCCACGAACCCGGGGTACGCCTTGCCCTGTAACTGTGGCACGTGGTCGGCGACGGGATTACAGCCTCAAGTTGCATACATCCTTTTTCCAGGTATGACCGGCATAGACCCGTACTCCTGTTCACCACATTCAAGTGTGTGACCACATAAAGAAAAAAGAAAAAACGCATGTGAATAAAATACATGAATGTTCACATCATAACTGTCAAATACCTTTTCTGTTGTCTCACATCAAGGTGAGCAATGGGCTATATCTACCACGCGCGCGCAACGAGGACCGATTAAGATCATGGTAAAACTGAATACAACTATTTATTTACTGTAGATAGGTCTATATGAATTTACATTTTCATTCTTGATTGGTTTTCCTTATTTATATGTATTTTATGTTCTGTATTTATGTTGTGTTTACTTCGTTAGCTTTATGACGACACGATAATATTTTTTGGGAATATGATTTAGGCTATTTTGGCATTTCAAAAAAGGCTGTTACCAAACTATAAATCAACATTTTCAATATGCCTTGAAAAATCTGGATTTGTCTATTGTCAATTAAAATAGTTGTTTTTAACTGATCAGACCATATTCCTTGGCAGCTGTTCCTAGCCAGCTACCAATAAGTCAGTTTATCAGAAGATACATAGTAAAAATACCAAGTAAGATAGACCCCAATGAGGTAAATTTCTGTCTTGTGAAATTACCACATAAATAAGACCGTATCAAAGTATAATTTTGCAAACGTCATCTCTTATGTTTAACCAGTGGCCAGAGGAGGGCAGGATAGACCTGTGAATCGGTGATGATTTCTAACAGAAACCGACTCTTAATGCTGTAAAATGGATGCTTTATCTTAAACTCTAATACAGAAGAATGAAGCAGTCAATCGATGCCTCTATGATTAATCATTAAACCATTATCTGTAACATCAATCAGTAATTGAGCAGTTTTATTTTCAACGTAATCAATTAATACCATGATGACCAATGCGGCTGTTTTGTTAAGGTGATGGTTGCCATGGACATGTTAATCTGTATTCAAATTCATCTAATTGAAGTTGATTTATATTCAGTTTCACATTTTACCTTCTTAATGGTTAAGGAGGATTGGGGTTGAGTAAACTGATCTTAAAACAGCGTTTGAGGTCAACTTCTACCTAGCTTTTAGTTTGTTGATGATTTCAATTGGACCGCATTTACATTCAAATTCTGAAGCGAAGGAAGTTATTTGAAAAACCACATCAAATTTTACTTCCCTGTCCACCAACGACTATTAGCAAAAGCTCTCGAGATTGTGTTACCATGGTATTTGTATCAATAATGTTATTAGCCAATAATGGTCTACCAGTATTGCTTGATTAAATCCAGACTGTTTTGTTTCACTGTATAAAAACATACCCTGTATAACTGCTCAGTGTGTATACGTCTGTATATGTGTGTGTGTATATATGTGTATATATGTGTGTGTATGTGTGTGTCTATGTATGTATGTGTATGTGTGTGTGTGTATGTATTTGTGTGTATATATGTGTGTGTGTACGTGTATATATGTGTGTGTGTGTGTGTGTGTATGTATTTGTGTGTGTGTATATATGTGTGTATGTGTGTGTGTATATGTGTGTGTGTGTGTTGTATGTGTTTGTATGTGTGTATGTATGTGTGTGTGTGTATGTATGTATGTGTATGTGTGTGTGTATGTATTTGTGTGTGTGTATGTGTGTGTAAAAATGTGTGTGTGTGTGTATATATGTGTGTGTGTGTGTGTATATGTATGTGTGTGTATGTGTGTATGTGTGTATGTATGTGTGTGTATGTGTGTGTGTATGTGTGTATGTATGTGTGTGTATGTGTGTATATGTATGTGTGTATGTATGTGTGTGGATGTGTGTGTGTGCTCTCAGTGATTAAGAGAGGCTTGCGATAAGAGAAGAATGGAAAGCCTCTCCTGCCCAGTTGGACTGTTGACAAAATGATAATGTGATTAAAATGAGTTTCTGCTTGTTCTGAGTGTGAAAAGGAATGAGTCTTACTAAGCATCATATTAAAAGTATCGATGCGGTTACATCAACAAATGCAAAACTAATGTCTGGGTGACTATACACTCTGGGCTTACCTGATGTCACTACAGGTTGTTGCTCACTCTGAATCTTTCGAGTCTCACCTAAAATCAACTCTATAAATCATCTCCATCACCTGTGTCTGTGAAGTGTGTACCTCTTAATATGCCATCCTGTCTGTCTGTCTGTCTGTCTGTCTGTCTGTCTGTCTGTCTGTCTGTCTGTCTGTCTGTCTGTCTGTCTGTCTGTCTGTCTACTTACATGACTGTTTGTTTGTCTATCTGTCTGTCTGTCTGTCTGTCTGTCTATCTGTCTGTCTGTCTGTCTGTCTGTCTGTCTGTCTGTCTGTCTGTCTATCTATCTATTACATTTACATTTTAGTCATTTAGCTCTTATCCAGAGCGACTTACAGTTTAGTGAGTGCATACATTATTTTAATTTTTTCATACTGGCCCCCCGTGGGAATTGAACCCACAACCCTGACGTTGCAAACGCCATGCTCTACCAACTGAGCTACATCCCTGCCGGCCATTCCCTCCCCTACCCTGGACGACGCTGGGCCAATTGTGCGCCGCCCCATGGGCTCCCTGTCGCGGCCGGCTACGACAGAGCCTGGATTCGAACCAGGATCTCTAGTGGCACAGCTAGCACTGCGATGCAGTGCCTTAGATCACTGTGCCACTATCTATCTGTCTGTCTGTCTGTCTGTCTGTCTGTCTGTCGGTCTGTCGGTCTATCTCGTCTATCTGTCTATCTGTCGGTCTATCTGTCTGTCTGTCGGGTCTATCTGTCTATCTGTTGGTCTACCTAGCTATCTATCTATCCATATGTCTGTCTGTCTGTCTATATGTCTATCTATCTATCTATCTATCTGTCTGTCTGTCTGTCTGTCTGTCTGTCTGTCTCTCGGCCTGTCTGTGTTCTCTTCATCTGTCTCACTAGCTTTCTTTGTGCATGTTGGTGTGTATGAGTGAGTGTGTCCCTGTCAGGGTATATAGACATTACACATGCTCGCCATGCCGTGCTATTATGGGGTTGTCTTGGCTAAAGTGATTCAGACCTCTTTATGTGCTCCTGCCCAACAACGGTTGGCTCAGATGAAAGGTACCTGGTGCGCCTATCTCCACTGTGCACGTGAGCATGAACGTGCACATGGTCAACTGCCCGTGCCACGTCACATGGCGGGGCGAAACCTCAGCAACCCCACCCTACTCCACATTAGTTCCACCACCGCCCTTTCACCTTCCCCATCTCTCACCCTTCGACATCCCTTTCCTACACACACATTTCACTCACACTTAACACTCACGAAAGACAGTGGAAAGAATGGCCACTGCAATCCAGACGGGTGGATTCGTCCTGGGCCTGCTCGGCGCGGCCGCCATCATCGCCGCCACGGGGATGAACAACTGGAGCGTCAAGGACCGCCAGGGGGACGTGGTGACCTCGGTGTACACCTATAAGGGCCTGTGGCAGAACTGTGAGGTGGGCACCTCAGGCTTCACTGAGTGCCGGCCCCTCTACGGCCTCCTGGGCTTCTCAGGTAAATAATGTGGGATTTTATTAAACTCTTTACATTTGGAGGTTTCTGAGATACTGGTTAAGGGTTTGAATTAGAGATTGACTTGTATGGGGAGTTGGAGAAGAATTGGGGTGGTCATCAGTGCAGTTTAGTTCCTCAAAAGGTTGATCAACAACGTGTTTTCACCGAAAGTGATTACCTGTATCACCAAATTGTGTCAAGGTTCTTAAATGTACCACTAAACTAGAGTTGTAGTTCTATTTCCACTCTGTAGTAGCCTAGTGGTCTTTTGTGTCCAAACTCACACTGACACCTGGGTTGGAGTTGAAACAGGGCATCACCTGAACATTTCTGAACATTGATATTTTCAAAATAATCAAGTAGATTCCTCTCCTAATTGTATTTATCAAGCAACACACAGAACAGTTGGCCTGTATAACAAAAATTGATCATGGTTTAAGAAAAAATACATTATTTACTTGCAGAATAGGCTCAATCATTATCTGACATTTGAGGGGGAAAAAGGGAAGCTAAAAGTTGTTTTTACTTATTTTACATTTAGGAGTCTTTCTGCTTTTAGTTTCAGTCCTCTCCTCTCCCCAAATGTACTCCCGCCCGTTGCCCTGGCCTGCTCCTATCAGTATTGACTTTAGCACCAGTGCATCATGGTTCCATTGCAAGGTTCATGTTCAGTAAACACCATTATCACAGGCAAAACAATTACAGACAAAGAATCAGATTCAAAATTCAAATACCAACAGAATACATTTCAGCTTGTTATTCACATTGGAACCTCTATCCCTGGTAATTTGACTGCTAAACTCATGGGTACTAAAACAATGTGTGGCTCGTACATCAGTAATATACATAATTAATCATATTTACTGACTTTGGCTTCATTACATTTCAGTTCTGAATAATATATTGCAGTGTATTACTGATGGTCATCTGGTGTGATGTGTGTTGTCTTCCAGGTACCTTTCAGGCAGTGAGGGCACTGATGATAGTGGGCATTGTTCTGGGTGTAATCGGGGCGATGATAGCCCTGTTCTCCCTCAAGTGCCTGAAAATGGGCAGCATGGAGGATTCCTCCAAAGCCAAGATGACCCTTACAGCTGGGGTCATGTTCATCATTGCAGGTATAGGGACGAAAATATTTATATAGTGCATGTTGCTTGGAGAACAGCAATTCAATCACTTATTTCTACATGTCTCTCTCTCTGAACTTATGTCTTCGGTGATAATGTGTAACTACCCAAGTCCTCAATCAATCGTTAAAATAAATGTACAATTCCAGTTTCACCGGCTTGCTTTTGTTAAACACTTATTGTCACTGAGCATTGAATTTGCTTCCTCTCTGTCAGGCATTTGTGCCATTTCTGGAGCTTCAATCTATGCTAACCAAATCGTGGCTAGTTTCATGATGACCACATACAACCCCAATTATGGAGGAGGGATGGGTGAGGGCATGGGGATGGGTGGTATGGGAGGAGGAAATATGACGCCGAGGTAAGAGTGGATTTCATTTATCTGTATTTCCATATTTGGTCAGGGTATCGCTATAGACAGGTGAGTCAGTTCCTGACTGTGCTTTTTCTCTGTGACAGGTACACGTTTGGCCCCGCCCTCTTTGTTGCCTGGATAGGCGCAGCTTTGCTCTTGTTGGGCGGGATTCTGAAGTGTGTGGCCTTCAGGGGACTACAACCGGACAAGTCAACGTAAGTTATCAATATTACATAATTTTCTAGCTAGATTCAGGTGGGCCCAAAAGTGAACACTGTGTGATGAAGGCAATTTTTTAAAGTAATTTGAATATGCAATATTGTAATTTTCTTGTGTTTTTCCCCCAGCTACACAGGAGTCGCTTACAAAGCCCCCCAAGCCCAGAACAGGCCCGTCTATGATGACCACCATACAGAGGATGGGAAGAGAGACAACCAGAAATATGTATAATTCCTGTCAGATTCTGCAACAATACATTTGATTTTGCATTAAGAAGCATGTATCTAAATGTTGCTTCGGAATATAGTGCTCCATTTTCATATACACACTTCCTAGATTAGTTTGAAGAGTTTCCATACATTTTACTGCATGTTATTGAAAAATGTGTATTCTGTTGTGGTTGATAGTAGGCTCTATTTATATAGCATTTTATACTGCCAGTAACTGTTTTAGTTTCATGTGGTCTTGGGTAATGTGTTATTGCTCGTCAATAAACCATTAATGTAAAGCTTTCATTTGTACAATGAAATATACCAAATACATTTTCTAAACACCTCTATTTATCAAAAGCATATTTTCTGCAATTAAAATGTCCTACCATAACATTGAGTCAGAGAACACAATACACACAGAGCCTATATTTGAAAACTCTGTGGCTCATACCTGGAAACGGTGATCTTATTTTCTTCCACTAGATGGCAAGAACGTTACACCCTTTGGCAAATCAAAGCTCTATGTTGGACATACACCGAGTGTACAAAATATTAACACCTGCTCTTGCCATGACATAGACTGACCAGGTGAATCCCTTATTGATGTCACTTGTTAAATCCACTTTATTCAGTGTAGATGAAGTGGATTTGATTTTATTAGGATCTCTTTTAGTCATCATTTCGACTAATCTTCCAAGAGTCCTTAAACATTAAAATACAATTTATAATAAGATCACATTTTCACATATAACACACTGTTACAGACACAATACACTGACATATTGACCAAAATATAGATTGATTCCTTCATCTACTTTAGTCCTGCACAAACTTCCAATTTATTAAATTTAAATGGTATTGTTTGAACGCATATATTGAAAGGTTTTTGGTTTGCTCAGATAAATTATTAAATTTCTTTATTGCTCTAAATCGAAATGTTATTTTGCCTATTTCTCTTCTCTGTCTGGATAATACAAAGATGGTGGACAATCTATTCCTAGTATTGACTTAGTCTGTCTCTTACCAACTAAATACTGTTGTGAATGGAGTTTGGCCATTTTAAATGGTGTACATTGTGAAATAAAATAAGCATGTGTTTTTCAATTATCTTGTTGATTGATGACCAACCAAGAGCATTGTGCATGACTACAACAGAAGAACCATATCTACACCTTAAAACAATCCTTGCTGCTTTGTTCTGTGCAATATGCAGCCTCCTAATTCACTTGCTGATGCATTTCCCCAGACCACAGAACAGTAGTTCACCTGAGTCCCAATTAATGCTTGGGTTGTTTGCTTAAGAATTTTTCCCAGTAAATATTTAGCTATCCTTCTGATCATGCATGCATAATTTTTTTTTTTACATAGATGAGTTACTTGAGACGACCAGGATAAGCAGTTGTCTAGCTGCACCCTTAGTAGTTTGGTTTCTGACACTTCCTCAATTTGTACTCCGCCCATACTTAATTGTATCCCATGCTGTGTTCGCCTTTTCCTGGTGGAACAGACCAACATAACCTTGGTTTTCAAAACAGGTTTGTTCCGGCAAACCCACTCCCTGATATTTCCAAGATCTACCTGTAGAGCTTGCTGTACCTGTTGAACTGATTGTCTTGCTGTATAAATTGTAGTATCATCTGTAAATATAGTAGCTTGAGTTTCAGATAAGGCGTAAGGAAGGTAATTGGTATATATTAAGTAAATAAGTGGTCCAAGGCAGCTGCCCTGCGGTATTCCACAGTTTAAAGCATAAGGGGAAGAAAATGACCCATTGATATACAGTAGGTGGACTGTTTCCTGTCAGTTAGATAGGACTGTACCCAATTCAAAGCTGCCTACGTAAACCCATAATGCAACAATGTTGTCAAAATTATTTCATGATCCACTAAATAAAATGCTGCACTAAAATCTAAAAATAGTACACCCACAAACCTGCCATTATCCATAGCATTGAGCCACTGGTCAGTCCATGTCAACCAATGCAGTGGTAGTGGAATGTTTTTTGCGGTAAGCATGCTGATTGGCTGTGATCAGACCATTATTTTCCATGTACTCCCAATACCCCCCAATATCTTACTGAGTGAAGAGAGTAGACTGATTGGTCGACTATTGGCAGGAGTAATGGGTTCTTTGCGGTCTTTCGGGATTGGACACAGTTTAGCATGCTTCCATACATTTGGAAATGTCCCCTTTTCCAGTGACCAATTAAATATGTATTTCAGTGGAGCTGCAATCTGGGGAGCAGCATAAAGTAAAAAGTGTCCATAAGATCATAACCTGTAGATTTACCATTGGGTAATGACTTCAATAGGTTTAAAAAAGGATTCAGGTTAAAAAAGGAGACAATTGCGACATGGATTGTGTATGTGTGCCATTCAGAGGGTGAACGGGCAAGACAAAAAATGTAAGTGCCTTTGAACCCCGTATGGTAGTAGGTGCCAGGCGCACCGGTTTGTTTCCCCATGTGTATCAGGAATGGTCCACCACCCAAATGACATCCAGCCAACTTGACACCACTGTGGGCCAGCATCCCTGTGGAACACTTTCGACACCTTGTAGAGTCCAGGCCCCAACGATTTGAGACTGTCCTGAGGGCAAAAGGGGGTGCAAATCAATATTAGGAAGGTGTTCCTAATGTTTTGTACACTCAGTGTATACCTGTCCCTTTTTGCTTTTAGTGAAAGTGGCAGACTCAGAAGTATGCAAAACACAATTGATTAAATGCAGTGTACGCTCAAACAAAAGACGCATACCATTAGAAATAAATACCATGAAAGACGTTTTATTCATTGCAGCGTTTTTCTTCCTCCCCGTACTGATTCACACACTGGGGAATCCAGTCCCTCTCCACAGCAAGATGCCCAGGGACACACAGGGACATCAGGTCTCACATACCAAAATGTGGTTTACTGTGAGGCCTTCACTAATGTGTGCTTCCCCAAAACATCCGCATGAGGTGAGACACCTAGATCCCCCACCCTAAGATCCTACCGCTGACACCTTTAGCAATATTTAAAAAACTATACAGGGACAACTGACAGACGGAAGGAGGGGAAAAAAAAGTTATAAAATCAAATAAAAAGTAACCAACAGTGAAAATCTTCTTTATGGTGTCTTCGGATAATTAATTCCAATCATTTAAAAGTTAACAGCAGGTATTTTGCATGTAAGTATAAGTATTTTGATATCTTTACAAATCTACAAAACAGCCGTTTTACATCCTGGCACAATATGTAATTGGGAAAATCTACGGATGAAGTTCATGATTTTCCAGTTAAAAATAATAAACATTTTAACAGTGTAGTACTTCAACATACAATCAGACAATCAAATTCAAACGGTGTACAGATTTGTTGCAGGGAATTTTTTTATGATGCACTATAAAACAGTATTATATACTTCCAACTTCTCACTCAGGAATTCCTCCACGCTATCCGTGTTCCACTTGAGGATGCTGAGTTCTTCAGCGATGTTCCCGTTATCGTCCAGCAGCTTTAGAATAGGGTCTGCGCCTCTCACATACTGAAACCAAACACACAGAGAGAGGGGACTATCAGGACTACGGCCTCTCACATACTGAAACCAAACACACAGAGAGAGGGGACTATCAGGACTACGGCCTCTCACATACTGAAACCAAACACACAGAGAGAGGGGACTATCAGGACTACGGCCTCTCACATACTGAAACCAAACACACAGAGAGAGGGGACTATCAGGACTACAGCCTCTCACATACTGAAACCAAACACACAGAGAGAGGGGACTATCAGGACTACGGCCTCTCACATACTGAAACCAAACACACAGAGAGAGGGGACTATCAGGACTACGGCCTCTCACATACTGAAACCAAACACACAGAGAGAGGGGACTATCAGGACTACGGCCTCTCACATACTGAAACCAAACACACAGAGAGAGGGGACTATCAGGACTACGGCCTCTCACATACTGAAACCAAACACACAGAGAGAGGGGACTATCAGGACTACGGCCTCTCACATACTGAAACCAAACACACAGAGAGAGGGGACTATCAGGACTACGGCCTCTCACATACTGAAACCAAACACACAGAGAGAGGGGACTATCAGGACTACGGCCTCTCACATACTGAAACCAAACACACAGAGAGAGGGGACTATCAGGACTACAGCCAAGACAGTAAACCCTTTCAATTCAACATAGCCATTGAAATGCCTATAAGATTATTAAAACTCCATATACTGTGTAATATTTATGGTGGTGCATGGGGTTCATGCTTTTCCATACCGACAGGAGATTATGTTCAAGACAATTTGGTTATTTTATTTCCAAGGTTGTATAAAAGCTGAGAGAAACAACTCCTTCTTTACAGCATTTGACACTTAACTAATTCATTGTACGCAACAGACAAGATTATCTACAATTCATTTGTACCTTAATTTGAAGACCCTTGAACATCTTCGGCTTGTCAGACCTGACAAAAGCTGTGGACAGAAAACAAGGTTAACTCATTATCGCAGGTCTAGTGAATCCGTCAATTGATAGACAGATCTATTTTTGCACAATGCTTGTAAACAGAAACCTTTGGAAAACATTCTTTGGTAATGAAGTTAAAGGGACCACAGTTGCGTACAGCTGTCCTAAACACAAACAGTGCCACTAGACACAGAGCTCCAAGACCCTACCCCAGGGTTCCCCAATTGATGGCCCACAGGTGGTTTTATTTGGCCCCCCAAGTTTTCTGAGCCCAAAAAAAATAGATATTTTTTAGAAATTTCATTGTTGGACATTTAAAAAAAAAGATTACACCAGGAAATCAGCTCCATTTCATTTTAATTTGGAAAAACTGTTCAAGTATTACCACGCATAACAGAGATACGTTATCATATACAGTGGGGAGAACAAGTATTTGATACATTGCCGATTTTGCAGGTTTTCCTACTTACAAAGCATGTAGAGGTCTGTAATTTTTATCATAGGTACACTTCAACTGTGAGAGACGGAATCTAAAACAAAAATCCAGAAAATCACATTGTATGATTTTTAAGTAATTAATTTGCATTTTATTGCATGACATAAGTATTTGATCACCTACCAACCAGTAAGAATTCCGGCTCTCACAGACCTGTTAGTTTTTCTTTAAGAAGCCCTCCTGTTCTCCACTCATTACCTGTATTAACTGCACCTGTTTGAACTCGTTACCTGTATAAAAGACACCTGTCCACACACTCAATCAAACAGACTCCAACCTCTCCACAATGGCCAAGACCAGAGAGCTGTGTAAGGACATCAGGGATAAAATTGTAGACCTGCACAAGGCTGGGATGGGCTACAGGACAGTAGGCAAGCAGCTTGGTGAGAAGGCAACAACTGTTGGCGCAATTATTAGAAAATGGAAGAAGTTCAAGATGACGGTCAATCACCCTCGGTCTGGGGGTCCATGCAAGATCTCACCTCGTGGGGCATCAATGATCATGAGGAAGGTGAGGGATCAGCCCAGAACTACACGGCAGGACCTGGTCAATGACCTGAAGAGAGCTGGGACCACAGTCTCAAAGAAAACCATTAGTAACACACTACGCCGTCATGGATTAAAATCCTGCA